GGACTTGAGGATGTTCAGCACCTGCTGCTGCTGCTGAGGGGAGCTGGGTGACTTCAGGGTCCGCAGCAGGTCCTGCAGGGCACTGGGCGAGATGCTCCGGGGCGGCTGCACGTTGGGCATCCGTGGCCCGGCCACGGCCGGCTGGGCTGGCATGGACATCACCGGCCTCGGCATGCCTGGCATCTGCTGCTGCGGGGGCAGGGGACCCTGCTGCCACTGGCCCGGCTGCATGTTGGACAGGACGGGCCCGCTGACCTGGCTGGGGCGCGGCACGTTCAAGCCCACAGGGGCCATCTGGCTCACCAGGGTCACCATGCCCGTGCGCCCCGGGGGCATGCCATTGTTGATGTTGACACGGTACAGGTGCTGCTGCTGCTGGGCCTCGCGCTCGATCTGCCGAGCGGCCTCCACAGCCGCTGGCGGGGGCTGGGCAGGTGGTGGTGGGGCCGGCACCTGGGTGGTGGGCTTCCCCGTGGACACCGTGGTGGGGGGCTGAGTCCGGGTCACGCTGGGGAAGCCGGCTGGTGACATGCTCACAGGCGAGGGCTGGGGCTGAACCGGGGGCTGGGGCGTCTGGGGTGTGCTGGGCTGCTGCGTGGGGGTGCCGGGCGGTGCTGAGGTAGGAGAAGGCAGGCTCTGCTGAGGCACGTTGCGGGTGTTCATGGTGGCCATCCGCCGGCGCATGAGCTGGGCCTGCTGCAGACGGTGCTGGATCTGCTGCTGGCGGAGCTTGTGTTTGATGTTGAGGCAGAAGGGCACGGGGCATTTGTTCTCTTGGCAGTGTTTGGCGTGATAGCAGCAGAGGGCGATGAGCTGCTTGCAGACGGGGCAGCCGCCATTGGTCTTGCGCTTGCAGCCCTTGGTGTGCTGCACCACCCGCTTCATCTTCTGGCAGGACGGCAGCGAGCAGTTGGCGTTGCGACACTGGCAGGCGTGCACCAGTGACTGGATGCAGCGCTGGATGCTCAGGCGCCGAGACTCCTGGGGGCTCTTGGACTGCGGCTCGCCCTGGCTGCTGCCCTCATCATCCAGGCCCAGCCCCCACTTGACCATCTTGTGGCTGTGGCTCTTGGTGTTGTAGCAGTTGATGCACAGGTCATAGTCCTTCGGAGAAGAAGAGACAGATCAGAGTCAGCACGGGGGCCACGTGGGCAGTAGCGTGGCTCCCAACACCCTGCCCCATGGCACTCCAGAGGGAGTAACAGATGGCGAAGCATGTCCATCCCCAGTGCCTACGCTTCTGGGACCTTCTCTGGGACTCAGTAGAGTCCACAGACCACCTCCTCTATCTGCTCGCCCGTATCCCCCAGTCCGAGTGGCGCCTCGGGCCCTGGCCGTGCAGGAGCAGGCAGACAGGGTGAGCTGACAGACCAGTGTCTACCTAAGCTCCTGGGGCTGTAAGAGAAACCAGTACCTCCGTGTGCCTCGTCCTTGTCGTCCCTCCTCCCTCTACAGAAGGGGCATCTACATCCTGCTCCTACAGACTCCAGAAGCTCGACCACTGAAGGACCTACACCACGACAATGCTCTCCACAGCACTGCCCACAATTCCTCCTGCATCACCCTTGGGGGGCTGTCCTCACTCCCTCCCTGGGCTGTTGGTGGGTGTCCTCAGCGTGCCCGCACTGCAGGGCAGCAGACAGCAGCCTCCCAAGCCTGTCCCCAGCAGCACTCTCCCAGAAAGGGGCCCTGGAGTGAGATGCTGTCCCCATGAGGAAGGCGTGGGCTAGCCACAAGAGCCAAAGTGGTCCTTCCCAACGTGGAGCCCATTTCTGAAAACCGCTCAGATGTGGGAAGTGTGAAAACGAAGTCCTGAACCTAAAGAACAGAGGCCCGTGGCCAGGGTTTGATGACCTTCCTGGAAGGGTATGAGGATCCCAGCATGAAAACAAGAAAGATACAAAAGAAAGCTGCAGAGAGCTGGTGGACAGAGAAGAGGGTGTGGTGAGGTGGGAAGGGGAGAGAAGGGCCAGAGGTGCGAGGCCCCCTCCCCTAGCTGAGGCAGAGACCCGCCCCTATCTGACCTCCGACCATGGTCGCCCTGAAGGCCAGCCCTGAAGAGAACGACTGGAGGAAGGAGGTGAGGAATGGGGGTGGTATGGTCACGGAGGGGTACGTGTCTGTCCCATCTGTGGGGCAGGAGGTAGGAGGGCCTGCCGACAGCCCAGGACCCCACACAGGCCCAGGGCCTCTGCAGAGGGGACAGTGCAGCAGGACCGGGCCAGCGGGGACAGTGAGAAGGGGCTTGAGACCCCTGACCAAGGTCACCCAGGTGACAGCAAGGTGAGGGCACTCTCGACCCCTTAGCAAGCCCAGACCTGGGGCATCAAGAAGGGGGTTAGCGGGCTGGATGCCCACAGAACACAGCGGCTGCCATAGCACCTCCCTCCATGCCTGCCCCAGAGACACACACTCTCTCAGCAGTGGCACCTGAGGCCCGTGCGTGCCTGGCACGGAGCGGACATCCAGCCCACATGGACGTCTGCCCAGCGACACCCTCACACCCTAGGAAGGTGGCATGAGCATGGCCTCCTGGAGAACCCATGGGTCCCTGTGTTGCGGTGCACCTGCTCCGCGTCCTGACACCCTCTCTGACCACATGCAGCTCTGTCTGCTAACTACCAGACTCCCCCTGGTGGGGACAGCCCGCTCCCATACCGCTGGGTCTCTGCTGCCAAGCAGAACCCAGTAAGCGCTGAGCTGAGCCGGCTTCTGTTTGTGACCTCAGAACACAATCCCGTAACCGCTGCCCGAGGGGCCGTGGGGGAGCGGCACCCACCTCGCACACCGTGCAGTGCCAGCGCGTTTCCACGTGGTGCTTGCACTCGTTGCAGGTGTAGACGAAGCGGTCCTGGCCCTGGGTGTGCAGCTCCACCAGCATGCACAGCGTCGCCCAGCGGGAGCGGCGCAGCGAGGAGAACTCCCAGTGCTTGTCCCTGGCCAGTGTGAGGAAGGCGTCGCGCCCGTCCATGAGGTCGCAGCTGAGCAGGGCGTCGGGGTCCACGATGGGGGGCAAGGTGTTGATGACAGGCCCCGCATGGAGGTGGATCACAAAGAAGACCTGCAGGCAGAGTGTGGCAAGAGGAAAGGTGTCACCTGACAGAGAGCGGCTCTGCGCCGAGGGCGGGTGGCCCAGGCCCAGGTCATGCCCTGCACGCACGTCTCCAGCCTGGATAGTGGGGACACGTCAGCTGGATTCCTGCAGGGCCACGCCGTCCCTGTGCTGAGCAGGGCTGACACGGCTCTGTGGCTGGGGGCTTTCACAGTACTAGGATGGGGGCCACCAGGCCGGGCGGTATGTGCCAGGCTGGGGAGAGGGGGTGGTGTGCCAG